GCAGGAACGCGAGGACAGAGCTGGGAAGAAAATGTCAAACAGTGCATTTAAAATTTGGCTCATTAGTCTTCCAGAAAGAAAAAAAATCAGTGAAGATTTTGTTCTTGGGAAACTTTAGCAAGGCAACTAGAGTAGGGAGATACTTTAACAGTTGAAGTGTGATGGGATCCTGCTCTTAAACAGCTTAGGGCAGCCAGGTTTTTTTCTGGTTCACCACAATTTCTGGTTCACCACATACAGACCAAAAATAGTATTTCGATTTTTCATTGGCAATTATTTTGTAAACAATTCAATATTGAGTCCAAATAGTAGCGGTGCTAGATAGCAATGTCCTTTCTTTGGAAATTGAAAAACAAATTCTTCAGATAACAGAGTAGGAAATGATATTTGTAAAAAATAACATGACATTATATAGGTAGAGCTATAGTCCCCTGAAATAACCGGAAACCTATCAGTTGTCGTTAGCTAACTGTAATCGTTTGTTGTTGCTACATGAGAAAGATATAAAAATGTATCTGGCGATCTGCCACTCCACGGTGGACATACAAAGTAAGCATTATGTAACCAAACACCAGAGAAACAGCTGATGTTTTAACGTTCTCTTTCATTCTTTTAAAGCTAGGTACTGGCGACCTTCACCTTGACGTGAGTCAACGTTTTAAAAAGTTAATTGAAAACACTCTTGCCTTCACATCATTACAGGCAAGAAATAAATTGGTAAGAATATAAAAACCAAAAATAAACAAAGCATGATATATTACGGTACAAACAGAAGTACTTGTGAGGTGTTGTGCTGATGTGAAGGATTTTAACTGAAGTATAAAGCATGTTAGCTGGTCCTAACAGACGGAAGCTAATAGACTAAGGGATTGATGGATGGCATGTTAACCCCGGTCGTCCCCCTTACATCCTGCTCTCTACCTCGGGTTTCTCTCCATGATTAACAGATGCCGAGGAATGCTGGGTGTAGTTCTTAAGTTATTATCAAATCATCCCCTATTTCATTTAAAGGACAACCCTGATCTATATATTTCTGAAAATTTTACATCATGAAGAACTGAGAGATAAGACATCTGGGAATCGGGATACAAACATCAACGATGTTAGACTTGTTTCAAAATTCTGTTTCCTGTTACATGTTATTTTTCCTATTGGAAAGTTGATTTCATGATCTTTCCAATTTCTCGTGCTAGATAGATGTTTTCCATTCGTCTGAAGCATAAGAATTTCACATGCTTTGAATATCTTTCGAGAGACAATAAATTAAGAGACGTGCAAATGCTACCTCCACCTGTACAAAGGCCGAACTTCTGCAAGATGTTAAGGACTATCTTCATGGCTGCCGTCATTATCTTATTGGGAAATATTCAATTTCCTTGTGAGCTAAAAATATCGACGTTTTGATAATGCCCAATAAAGTGTCTTGTTATTTCGTTGCAAGTTCCTCGGCTATCACATTGAGTACTTGAAATTGACAAAATTCACCACATATGTCGTCAATAAAGCAAAAGACACTTACCCTTTTGGAACACCTGGCTATATACTCCTTGACATTTTTCAACGTTATTTGAAGGAATATTTACCTTTCCTTTGTTCATACTTGGACCTAGTGTCATAGTTGTGAGTTCGAATTACAGTTTCGTTTCCAGTTCGGTATTCTAGATCTTTCGGTTTTTGTTTTGTTTTATGAGACAGTAGTTTACATATTCCAGCATTTCTTGTGTCTGCTCAAATTCATATTTTCATGGTTTCAACTTAGTATGTGCAAGTGAGGAAGCATCTTATTAAGATTATTTTCAAATCGAAAAAAACATCCTCATAAGTGTCAAACCTCGTATAGCAATTTTGGTTATTCTTACCAACGATGTAGTTTTAAAGATGACAGTTTTGGCAATGCTGACATAATATTGTGTATTTTGTAAAACATTTATGTGATCAATATGACTACACGGACAGATGACGATTTTGTGTTGTTCGGTTGTTGTTGGCGATTTATCTGGCGAGAATCAAATGGACAAGTTCGGGGATTACCAAAAGACTTCTTCAACCGATATAAGCGTCCGTTTTGTCAAGTACTATTTAAGACGACCCTGTCCGGAGCCTGACCGGTTTGATAAGTCCATATTTTCCGGACGGATTTCCAATCCAGACAAGAACACGCATCCAAATCTTCCAACAAGAGTATTTTCTATTACCTTTCCATCCATTAGTCGTGCTAGTGTTTCTGTTTAGGTCGAGGATCTGATTCAAAATTCACCGATGCGTCATCTGTCTTGTTTAATTTGGAGTTGTACATTCGTGATGCAACGCATGAAATCAGACACGTTTTCAAGGGTTTTAAAGTACACAGTACCAACATTCAATGAAAGAGGAACCAAATCTGAGTCATAGAAACGCTTTCATGTGGCCGTCACGTGATACTCGTTTAAGAAAGCGCTTGTCACCTGTCAAATAATTCAATGGGGATTCTGTATTGTGTATTGATCGATTTGAATGTGCTCCAGGATGTTTTTAATTTTCAAGGAAAATGTTATGATGTTATAACCACCCCCCCCCCTCCCCCCACCAATCTTTTAAAATTTCAAATCGTTATCGAAAAAGTGTGCGATAAACAAATGCGAAAACCTAAAAATGGAAATAAAATTTGATTTTGACTGGTAAGGGTAGTATTTATATCACTTGATAGAGAAATACTTTACAAAAAAACTTAAATCCGTGACGGAAGTACGGCTTGACATGTTAGAAGTGATAAGGCTCAGATTTACGACACTTTAAAGGAATTGAAGAACAAACTGTGAAATGTTATCAGGGATGGTTCCTTTATGTCACAGTACTGCTGGTGTACACTCAAAACCAGAATTATATCTTAGTAAATTGGAAGGAACGAATAAAAAATGTTCCGTGCTATCGGATCTTTTGACAAAGATGGTGGTTAAACTTTTGGTACTAGCTGTATTTATCATCAGTATACATGTGTGATAGTGTGGCCTCTTTGATAACAGTTGTTAAAGGAAGCGGTTAAAGTAGGACTTCTGTAAAATAACTGGAATTGAAGGAAATCTAAAAGATGCTCCGTTACGTGTCAAATTAACATTTCCAGGATGTACATGTAGCCATTGTATTATCGTTTGTGTCCACTATCCCTTAATCTAAACCTTTGGTTAGTAAGCTGTCTGCTATTTATATATTAGTAGAAAGACACTTATATTTAGCGTTACATTCAAATTGAATGAAATGCTGTCTTTATAGATTATTAGACTCAAAACCTGTACCTGTAGATTTCATAAACATCAGGTAAGCCTACATAGATTTTAATGATTCCCCTGACAGGACCGGTCATGATTTAAGCACTGGGTACACTGCTGATAGGCATATCAGTTTCAATTAGTGACATTGAATGAAAAGTGTAGTTACTTGAATGTCTTCGTGTTAAAGATCAGTAAATGTCCCTTGCCTATCTATTTATATTTAATGACAAAAGTATCGTACATGGGTATTTAATTAGCAATGCATTGATATGAATCCGTCTGATATTTCTAGACGATATATATGTCTTCATTTGTAACAGAAACCATTTCGGAATGTATAAGACCCAAGGCATTGCATAACAAGAAAATCCACAAAAATTTCAGTAAAGACGCTTGTTTCCGGATCTTTGCATGCCGGAGTTCAATTTTAGTCTCGCCAGGAGTAGGTAAGCGGAAGCAGACAGAAGAGTGACAGACTAATTGCTTGTCAGATTCCGACTGAGGAGTTCCGGACAATTACTTGTGATATAATTCATATGTATGGCGTTTATCAAATCAACAGATATGGAGCACATGTTTCTTGAAGGAAAAAATCAATCCTATCGCTACTTTTTAGATGCTTTTAAGTGCGAACCGAGTAAAGTGTGGCGCGCGTTGACAGTAAGTACTGCCCCAGTATGCGTGATGTCCGACCTAACACTTACGTGAACTGTATCAGACGTTGAGATTGTCTAAGGAGCGACAATTTCGGAAAAAACATATACCTTCCCTCTCAAGAGTAAAGCTGATAGTATGAAAACAATTTATTTTATTAATCATAACTGTATCCTCGGTGGAAAAATACTATTGTTGGCGTTTTAAAATTCCTTTTGGCTGGTGCTAATTCGGTCAAGGCGATTACATGCTTTTATTTCGGTAAATCAAATATTTTGGAAGCGCAAATTTTAAAAATTCTGTCCGGTATTTGTGGAATTTCCTTATAGTTTCTTTCGAAACAGACACAACCTCTGATCAGTATATGCGAGTTATCTCCTCTGATTACAGGTGCCAGCGTTTGGCAACATATAATACTTCTTTATCCAGAGTACGAGTGAATTAAGTGTGACCTTGATATTGACATGACCCTTTGAACAAATAATATTGAAAATATACACGAATAACGTAATGCAATTGTGAAGGGGGAAAAACAGTTATAACCGTGCATAATGGATGGAAGTGGAGTATTCATTGGAGCCATTCATGGCAGTGAAATCTATTCTAATTAACTTTTTTATCCAAGGTCAAATAGGATTGAGAAATAACGCTTGAGCATCATTAATGAATTCTATTGATATAAGCGTAATAAAGGCCGTAAATGGGATATAGAAATCCCACGAAAGTTTGAATAGTTGAGATGTCGACTACGTAAGTCCATTAGTTTTCCACACCGCTATCACAATGCAAACACTGCCATTTACGGAGTTGCGTCCCCTTGAGACGCCCGAAATCGTACACGTCGGGACGTGGTGTTGATTTCCAACTCTTTAGTTTGATAGGTCGTTTTTCATCCAGCCGACCAACGACGTTTTTCATTATATTTTTTTTTTTTTTTTTTACAATATCCTGTTAAAAGTGAACATTTATATTTTGAATAATCGTTTCCAGAGGAAGGCTGATGGAATAAAAAGGTATAGTGTGTGATGACACTGCAGTGATTATCAATCACCTGGGTACAAGATATTATTAAGAAGCACATAAAAGGAAATTCCAATCTGAAAATTGTCATTAAAATATTTTACTTCAACAAAAAATTCGTTTAACATGGGGAAATGATCAACGTATACAAACACAAAATTATTTTATTAAATATAATATGATTTAATGAAACATGATACCACGTGAAATAGTCAGCATTATATTGTATTAGTATGCGATTCACCCAACCATTAAAAAAGTAGATCGTATAATCTTCAATTAGAAAAAAAATCATCAATATTCATTCTTTAAAGTTGACACTTAATTTGATCTGTTGTACCCCGGGAGTACAGACTAAAGTAATTCTCCTCCAAAGGGACGATATATAATACCGCACTGTTGAAATCTTTGCACATTCGTTCTCGACCTTTGCCCGTGTCAGAAGCTAATTATCTGCCTTCGGTGAAATTCACTCCAAATCGGGGGTAATTTTCTGCATGATCGATAAAGCAGGACAAAGCATGTGGCACTTTTCATCCGTCATTACCAAATCTATCAAAACGTTTATGAATATTTTATGAAAGTCATCATGATGCTCCATATAATTGACCAATCAGGGCCATCCAAAGTCGATATTGGTCATTTGGTAAAATTTCTTGTTGAACGGTCTATAAAAGTCTTGTAATCTCTTGATCACGTTCGGGTCTACGTACGGATGCTTCCTTCCTTTAGTTCCTACCAAACAATGTGGGTATTTACTTCCGGTCTTTTGTATACACGGAAACCCTCGGGTGTCATTCATGTAAAAATGACTATCATTTATATATCTCCTCAATCCTAGAAAATCTTGAAGCTTGAACATTTCCTCGCTTGGATTTTTCACAATATTCTCACCATTCACAAAATGAAACTGCTCCAGGGGAAAATATCGGAGCCATTCTTCCAAATGTTTTGCATAGATTCCGATTTTGATGACGGGCCATGATGTATCCACAAGACCCGTATGATTGTTCGACAGCGCCATCTGTTCAAATGGTTTCATGGAAGCACGTTTGCTGGCTACCTGTGTGTAGTCTGAAATGGCTCGGGTCACGGGATCTCTTACTATCAGAACAAGTTTCACATCACGTGACATATTGAAGACTCTTTTAGGGACTTCCTTCGTCACGAAGTATCGAGGCGTTTTTTCAATTGTCGTCTGCTCGTCATTTGTCTCTGGCATCAAATCCCTTAAAAAAAACAAAAAAAACAATACACATGAATTTTACTCCAACAGAAGAAAAATAAAATATAAGATGTTGCCGCCTTAAATGAAAAAAGCCCTCCCACATTTTAGAATGTATACAGTATATTGGTCGGGGTGGAGTGGGCGATTTTGGTACAACTTAATCGTTGAAAAGGTTATGCAATGGGCGCAATGTGCCATCCTGTTTGCGATTGGTTTAGGAATAGGATACCGACTTGTTTAAAATGAGACAACATGATTGATAGATCGGCCATTGAATCATGATACTTTACGCGGTAAATTGGCACGGAAGGGTATCACAATATCCTGTTCGGTGATGGCATGTTTCAACTTCAATTTTATGTTTTAACCCAACTGATGTGGAAAAAACGATACCAACTTGAAACAGAGAAAATGCAAGTGAAGCGAACACTGGAGAATGATGTATTGTGACAGTAGCAGTAAAACGAAAACAATTTCCTGGGAAACAAAATGTATTATTTCTTAAACAAATTGTTCAAATACCAATAACATCCTTATCTAAATCAGTGAGAGAGGAACAAGCATTGGAGACTGGACTGTGTTTGGGAATTGAAAAAGCATGGTTGAATCGATGAAAATTTAACCAGGAAAAACATTGATATTAAATAATAATGAAAAGCAGATACTTCAATATTGAATATTTGATTCTTACGTCTTTTTCATGTTGATAATACATGGAATCTGAGTTAATTACATGCCATAGGAATGCTGTTTTGGAGTTGTAAGAGCATGCTGATAAGTACTGAATGATCGAGGTCCGGGGTTATCGACAGAGGGAGACCTTTCCCAAGCGAGTATTGCTACCCATATTTTGCTGATGTGTACGACTGTAATGGGATGCTGTTGTAATGAAATCACAAGCTAAGGTTTACTATACAAACTGTCTCCAAGTATTGGATTGCCTATAATATGTTTCCCACTCAATTGAAAGTTAATGCTTCTCGTTATGTGATTGTTTTTTGTTGCGTACATCGAATTTTTTTCAAAGACATTGAAATTCAGTATTACAATCAGACAACCTACGTGGTCGATTCCTCTGCTTGCTCTTGACCTTCTCTTTCGTTCTACGGATTATTATATTTAACAGTAGTAGTGATACTATCCATTTGCACGCAGGTCACTGTAACATCACATAAAACATAAGGCAATACTATTGTAAATTAATCGGAAGCTCGACCCCGCTCGGCCCTTTCCGGAATGTTACGTCACAGATGAGAATGATCAATGTACCGATATAAATGGGGCCCCTGCTAACTAACTCCTCAAATTTTCCGTACCCTTTTCATGGAAATGACCGAGACGCAGATGATAAATTGAACTTTTCTGTAGGTTTTCGGATATGGCGAATATAATGTTGTGTTATGAAGTTTGAGTACGGACAGTGGGATAACCGTATCTGAAATACTGGCTAGATTGTTAGACAGGGTATTCTAAAACACTGCCACAACAGGATCTAAAACACTGGCTGGACATTTTGACTTCCGGATCTAAAACATCGGATTGTTGGACAACTGATCTCATCCACTGGCTGTTTTTTTTAAAATAAGGATCCAAAACGCTGGTTGGGTACCTTGACTTCCGGATCTAAATTATTGGTTGCATGTTGGGACAAATGGATCTAAAACATTGGCTGGATAGCGAGACAACTATTTCTAAAACAGTGGTTGAACAGTTGGGACAACCGGATTTAAAACACTGCATGGATTGTTAGACAAACGGATCTAAATCATTGGTTGTATATTGGAACAATCAGATCTTAAACATTGGTTGTATAATAGGACAATCGGATCTTGAACATTGGTTGCATAGTAGGACAATCGGATCTAAAACATTGGTTATATAATAGGACAATCGGATCTTAAACATTGGTTGTATAGAAGGACAATCGGATCTTAAACATTGGTTGTATAGTAGGACAATCGGATCTTAAGCATTGGTTGTATATTGGAACAATAAGATCTTAAACATTGGTAGTATAATAGGACAATCGGATCTTAAACATTGATTGTATAGTAGGACTATCGGATCTTAAACATTGGTTGTATATTGTACAATCGGATCTTAAACATTGGTTGTATAGTAGGACAATCGGATCTTGAACATTGGTTGCATAGTAGGACAATCGGATCTAAAACAGTGGTTATATAATAGGACAATCGGATCTTAAACATTGATTGTATAGTAGGACAATCGGATCTTAAAGATTGGTTGTATATTGGAACAATCAGATCTTAAACATAGGTTGTATAATAGGACAATCGGATCTTGAACATTGGTTGCATAGTAGGACAATCGGATCTAAAACAGTGGTTATATAATAGGACAATCGGATCTTAAACATTGATTGTATAGTAGGACAATCGGATCTTAAAGATTGGTTGTATATTGGAACAATCAGATCTTAAACATTGGTTGTATATTGGAACAATAAGATCTTAAACATTGGTAGTATAATAGGACAATCGGATCTTAAACATTGATTGTATAGTAGGACAATCGGATCTTAAAGATTGGTTGTATATTGGAACAATCAGATCTTAAACATAGGTTGTATAATAGGACAATCGGATCTTGAACATTGGTTGCATAGTAGGACAATCGGATCTAAAACATTGGTTGTATAGAAGGACAATCGGATCTTAAAAATTGGTTGTATATTGGACAATCGGATCTTAAACATTGGTTGTATAGTAGGACAATCGGATCTTGAACATTGGTTGCATAGTAGGACAATCGGATCTAAAACATTGGTTATATAATAGGACGATCGGATCTTAAACATTGGTTGTATAGAAGGAAAATCGGATCTTAAACATTGGTTGTATATTGTACAATCGGATCTTAAACATTGGTTGTATATTGTACAATCGGATCTTAAACATTGGTTGTATAGTAGGACAATCGGATCTTGAACATTGGTTGCATAGTAGGACAATCGGATCTAAAACATTGGTTATATAATAGGACAATCGGATCTTAAACATTGATTGTATAGTAGGACAATCGGATCATAAACATTGGTTGTATATTGGAACAATCAGATCTTAAACATTGGTTGTATAATAGGACAATTGGATCTTGAACATTGGTTGTATAGAAGGACAATCGGATCTAAAACATTGGTTGTATAGAAGGACAATCGGATATTAAACATTGGTTGTATAGAAGGAAAATCGGATCTTAAACATTGGTTGTGTATTGGACAATCGGATCTTGAACATTGGTTGTATAGAAGGACAATCGGATCTTAAACATTGGTAGTATATTGGACAATCGGATCTTAAACATTGGTTGTATAGTAGGACAATCGGATCTTGAACATTGGTTGCATAGTAGGACAATCGGATCTAAAACATTGGTTATATAATAGGACGATCGGATCTTAAACATTGGTTGTATAGAAGGACAATCGGATCTTAAACATTGGGTATATGTTGGACAATCGGATCTTAAACATTGGTTGTTTAGTAGGACAACCGGATCTTAAACATTTGCTGGATAGAAGGAACATTGGTTATATAATAGGACGATCGGATCGGAACAATCGGATCTTAAACATTGGTTGTATATTGGACAATCGGATCTTAAACATCGGTTGTTTAGTAGGACAACCGGATCTTAAACATTGGTTGTTTAGTAGGACAATCGGGCCTTAAACATTAGTTGTATAGCAGGACAATCGGATCTGAAACATTTGCTGGATAGAAGGACAATCGGATATATTTACATTTGCATGGCATTGTCACCATATAACCTCTTTGAAAGCTGAGTCGTTGATGGGACTTTAATTACCATGCTGCACGAGACACAATTCTTAGCGTATTAATACAACACTGACCGAACTACAATATCCAATGTAAATAAACATGAAGGCTGGTGAAATATCGCTGGGCATTTTGAGACTTGATAATGTCATTGTTAATTTAGGTGCAAAAGAAAAAAGGAAATAAAAAGTATTTTTATTACAACAAAAACAAGGCCAAGGTCTGCAATATCGTACAAAATGCACATCGGTTGAAATCACCAATGCCGGCAATGGAAACAATTTTAACACCAGTGGTTCGTTACAAATGTCTGAAATACACATATGCTATAGACCTACTGAAACATATGTTACAAACCTATTGAGTCACAGCACACATAAACATTTCAGACATTTGTAACGAACCCCTGTGCTCCGTCGCAAGATCACTCAATTCAAACGATTTCAGCCACGGTTTCCCCAGTTTCTGATCATGACATGTCAAACAACGAGGCTGTTATAGAATCTAACGACTGTAGTGAGATTCCCCCATAGATTCTTCACAAAATGGGCAAAGAGAAACTTTCGAATTAACTTCCAAAAATAACTCCTTCGTGGAGTTCAATGTCGGATTCACTGTGTTCACTGTATTTATCCATGTGCGAAATTTGTTCCGGGAAAAAAACTTTTTCAATTTTAAATATAAATTATAAGTTAAAAAAGATAATAAGAGGAAGAGAAAACGTAAATACAAGTACTGAACTGATCTTTGCAAGCAAACAACTCATAATGCGCGCTGTTCAATGCTTAAATAAAACATTGGTTGAACAGTCGGACAACTGAATCCAATACACTGGCTGGATATTGCGCCTACCAAACCGGATTAAAGTTGGCCGGATTAAGAAGCTCGACAATGTATAGGAATTAAGAAGACGAACTGAATGGCCGTCCACATCTCACCGGGAGTTGCGTGTACTTATAACTAACGACAGTTTTGTACCACAAGACCTTCCACCGTAATGGATCAAATCTCCTACATCAAACTGACAAATATGTTTACACTTTAAACTTGCACTTTTGACTTCGGCATTGTCTGTTAAAAATACGATAAAAATAAAAACAAATGTCACGATACCATGTTTAATTCCATCAGAGTTATCGCCGATGGTTGATTTACGCTCGAGAAATATCAGCTGGTTTTTGCGACATTTATCAGGATG